GGCTGGCCACTGTGAGTAGAACACTGAACTCTAGACGCAGGCGTGCTCTGATCCAGAAGCAAGGCTCTTGAAATTACCAGCCTCTTCCCTACCCTGTTCTCAAGCCAAAGAAATTTTCGTGTTCATACTGACAGAAAAGCAAGGGCATTGGAAGGAGCTACCCCCTCAATTTATGAGGGATGCAAGTGGCTGTGTATGCAGAAATGTGGCTTCTCCTCAAGAGGCATTTTAAGAGGTAGATCTCTCCATAGCACCAGACCTGCTTCATGTAGGTGGGTAGACACACATGCATGCCTCACAAACCTGTTGCACTTCTAACATGTTTTGTATTGCTTCCAGCCAACATGGAAATATTGTGCAGGACAGACTTGACCATGTATGCCATTTTCGGTAGAAAGGCAGAGTACCAGTTGAATAAATGAATAAAGAAGCCTGGCTGGAGATGATGGAGGTTGTAGTCAAACACTTCTGAATCATGTTGGAGAAGGCTGGCCCATACAATGGTCTGGGGTCCTTTTCTTATTATTATTATAACCCAAGTTGCAGCTGGATAAAGTAATCTGGCCAGACAGTTATCCAAAGAGGGATGTGTGTTGCAGGAAAGCATCCATAATCTCTCTCTTTTCTCTGTAACAAGCAACTGCCTCTCTGTTGCTTTCCACTGCAGTTTTGCTGAAATAGAAACTCTGAATATAGCCCTACAAATAAGTTTGCTTCCTTGTCTAGAAGGCAAATGTGTTTAGAGCACCATGAGATTAGCAAAGCCTCTTTAGCCAAAGGGCATCACTCATCCTCCCTCAGAGCTGAGAAGTTTTTTTATCTGGGGCAAGAGCTTTGTTGTGTCAAGCACCATATAAAGCACATTAACAGATGTGGCTCATGCTTTAAGGACCTCTGTAATCATTCTCTCGGTCTCCCTCAGGTTCATTTGGTACCAGAAAAAACTTGGAAGAGGAAACAATGAATTTTAAACTTGATTTCTGAGGACCATTCAACCTCCTCAGAGGAGACATTTTTCAGGCAGATGTTTTGAGCTGTTGCTCCCTTCACTGTAGAATTTTGAAAGAGTGCTTCATATAACACAGTGCATTTGGAAGCAAAATACTTAGCAAGAATCCATTTGCTGTGGAATGTTAGTCCCCTGGCTTTGAAGAAGTCAAGACACAGGCCAACAGAAAAGCTTATAGGGGCTCACAGTTTCACTATGTACACATTTATACCTAGTGTTGTATTTTCCATTTTGATTCATTGTGTTATATATTATGTATGTTGGATTTTGGTGTACTGTTTTATTGTGTATTTAGAAATTGAATTGTATACCACCCATAGAGCCCAAAGAGCTATGGGGTAGGATAGAAATGTAAATTGAAGTGAGATGAAATAAAATTTATACCATCTAATGGTACTCGCTATCATCTTTATTTATATTCTAGATAATCTTTCTTACATATGAATTGAAGAACAGTAAGCCTCAAATCCTAGATCATCCTAAAAACACAGCATGTTATATAAGGTTTCTATTTTATTGGCAAAGGGGTCTGTTGTGTTCCATGGTGGCCCCAATGAGTAAGAGTATAATCCAGTAATTGTTGTTTTTTTATAAATGAAGTTGAACTTTTAAAATATCATTAAAATTCTTCTTCCTTGGGAAGTTCGTATGTTCATGCTCAGGAAGCATTTGCTCACTCTGAATTGACTTTTTTTGGTGACTTCACCCCACGGTAAAATCTGGCTGACTGTGTAATATTATGGTAGTGTCTTGCTCAGAAGGTAATTCCTAGTTGGCTGGGACTTTCCTTGCACAGATGGAGGAAGCACATCCCTCTGTTGGTTGGCTTCATCTGCCCTTAGAATAGCATCACCACATGGCCATCTCTTACAAGAAACATAATATCATTGCATCATACCAGTCCCAGACTGGCTGGCATGACCCATGTGATTAATAGGAAGAGCAATTTAAAATTGAAAAGGCACATAGGCAGCAGATAAGGAAACTCGTGAGAATGAACAAGATGGAAAAAAATGGCAATCCTTAATTTCAGGAAATATTGAACTTCAGTATTTTCTGTTTGCTTTATACCACCTCATTGTTATCTTGGTGAGCATTTGAAAATTCTTCCCTCTCTGCCTTTCTCTCTGAGAGCTACCCAGGGACAGTGAATAGTCACATGCGGAGATAGACAGATGCCTAAAATACCCTTGCAGCACAAGGGTACATGTTTACTCAAAAGAAGACCCACGGTATTCAATTATTTATTCAGTTATTTATTTATTTCATTATACTTCTATGCTGCACCATAACCTGAGGGTTCTCTGGGTGGCTTACAAGATGCTAAACAAGCATATAAAAATACAATCCATAAAATAGATAAAAACAATTAAAATAATAAAATATTATACGAGGTGATACAGAATAAAGGATAATAAAGGATCGTGCTCAAAACACAAACCAACTACAACAAAATAATTTATAATAAAATCAATCAGTTAGATAAATCCACAACAAAACACAAATTAAATTAGCCAAATGCCTGTCAGAACAAGAAATATTTACTTGGTGCCTAAAAGAAAGCAAGGTCGGCACCAGCTGTATGTGCCTGTGGAGCAAATTCCAAAGTCTGGGCACCACTCCTCCTAGCCTCGTATTCAGAGGAGGACTTCAGAAGATGATCTAAGGGGGCAGGTAGGCATGTATGGAGAGAAGTGTTCCCTCAGGTACCCTGGTGCCAAGCCTTTTATATATGCTCTGTGTGTCAATGACAACACTGAATTGGGTCCGGGCAGGAAGGGAGCCAATGCAGCTGATGGAGGACCAGTGTAATGTGTGCTTGACAGACGGTTCAACAGGGTTTACTCACAGAAACTGCATGTAAGATTTCAACCTCAAACATGGCATTTTCACATTAAGTTTGTCCACTGAAGAAATATGACTTAAAGTAAATGTGACTGCTAAGACACTGAAACCCTGTTGGAGTTAGTCCCTTGCAAAATTAATAACTCCCTACTCTTGTTTTCTCCCATTCCTTCTTTTGCTGTTATGAAGTGTGCAGCCAGGATGCTTTTATTCAGTTACATATGCAACATGAACAAGAAAAAGTAAGCCATCCCTGCATACCTATTTCCTTTCTCCCTGTCATTGGAAAAAATGAGTATACCATTGGATTTGGGTCCAGAATATCATGTCTTCTGTGAAACCAATTTTTAAAGAATTGTTGATGGCTTATAATAAACTAACAACTCCCAGATGTGCAATTTAAACTCAGCACATATTTGAGATGGAAGCAACCTGCATTTAGTGCATAGTGGACACTAATCTACTGCATATCCACTAGATTTAGGCTTATTCCTGTTTATTCAGTAACCAGACTGGGCTTGAATGATCATTGGCTTATAATATGTGAAGAATTTAGGTCAGAGGATTTGGCAGCATTATACTCTAAGAATATCAATGTTAGTGGGATAATAATTGATAGATAGAAATGCAATCCCTGTCTGAGTGTGCTGAACAGTTTCTATGGCTCTTATACTGGGCCCATGTGAAATGCCTAAGGCCAAAATCCTATGCACACTTAGCTAGAAGCAAATGCCAGTGAACTCAGTGGGTTTTCCTTAACAATCAACATGCATAGTGTTGTGCTGTAAAAGGACATTCGGTTGATAAAAAGTTTGTTGGATGGTTTAACAACAATTGAAAATAGCTGCACATAAGCCATCGAAAGATGTTTGCACAGATCAAGATTCCTTGTTTCTTCTGCCTTTATTGGAGGCCCAGAACAGTCATCATTAGAATTTGGCTCTTTCTTCATTTTCAGTTTTCTTGCACAACTGAAGGGGCAGTTGCTTGTGTGAGATACTTTCTACTTGTCCACATGGTGTTTCAGGTCATCATGTATGGAGGAAGCTGCTACATTAAAAAGCGTTCAAAAGGAATAATAATTGGGAGCTTTTAGGCTTGTTTTGAGGGGCTAATCCTATGCTAGTTAAGTAGAAAAAGGCCTACAACTCCTAGCAAGCCCCAGCCCCTAAACTTGCATGGAATGACAGTTTAATCATGGTATCCCTAAGTATCTGTTTCAGGATGCTTACTATGGCTGCTGATCTTTTCATTGATTGATTGTTGGTGTCTGTGCTACTTTTTAATGAGATGTTGGCATGAACACGTTTTACCTTTTAGTTTTGCTAGCCATCTTGAACCTTGGATAGGCCGATGAAAACTTAGCAATGTTCATCTATGATTGAGATTAGCAGAGGACTGTTTCCCCAAACAATTGAGAAATATTTCTGTTTAAGCTGAACTTAGTTCCAAGTCAAACTGGATCCTGTTGCACTTCTGATATTTATTGAACTTATTCTGAGATTGGAGCTTCCCAGATCCCTCCAACCTTGTGTCACCAGACTTCTGCCCAACCTCTCGTGAGTCACCATATTCCCTGTTTCTCACCTTGCAGGTATAGTGGGAGGTGGTGAAGAAAGGGTTTCCCTTTCCAAACAGTGTTTGGACACTGTTACTGCAGAAACCTCGGCATCAGTGGCTCCCGGTAATTTCCTAGGTCTACCAGCGTCCATGTAAATAGAGGAGAAAGGTGTTTAACTGGGAGTTATGGGATTTAGGAGTTACAATGCTTGCCTTGTATTTAATGCAAACATTACAAGCCCTCAAGGTTTATATTTGAACCATGGAAGTACACATTTTGGCAATACATCTACTAAGAACGCTCTAAATATTTCTTAACTAATAGAAATGGCTGGACAAATCCTATACGTCTGTTGTTGATGTTTGTTAACCCCGCTTTAATATTGGATGTGATTGATATTTTCATGGCAGAGTTCCACAGGTGTGAACATTATTGGATGTTTTAAAACTGTTTATTACAACTATTTATTTTTATGCCTATCTCAGTTCATTCAATGATTTCCTGTGGTGGCATTCAATTGAAATTTGTTTTTATTTTGGTAAAGATGCTATGCAATAATGGAATGTATTTTTCCTTCATTTCCAGAGAGGAACATTGACTTCTGATAAAGACCTATATCTTGACAACAGTTCCCTTGAAGAAGCATCAGGAATGTATCCAATTGATGATGATGATTATACTTCTGGATCAGGCTCAGGTAAGGCAGTACTTTGTAAGAAAAATTTTGTGGGGATCACACTACAAGCAAGAACAATCTTGGAAGTATTGTAGATCACAAGCTGAGAATGAGTCAGCTGGAACTTTTGAAATGGCTTCGAAAAAAGGCAAGGGCTATTTGGGCTGCATTCATGGAAATATCACTCCCATATCATACAAAGTATTAGTTGCCCTGTATCCAGCACTGGTGATCCTTCAGTTCTGAGCACCACAGTTCAACATAGATGCTGACAAACTGGAAAAAGTTCAGAGGAGAGTGACGAGGATCTGTTTTCCGGATCCCAGAATATAGGACACAGAATAATGGGCTCAAATCACCAGAGGACAGATTCCAGCTGAACATCAGGAAAAGCTTCCTGACTATTAGAGCAAAGCGATGATGGAACTAATTATCCAGGGAAGTGGTTGGCTTTCCCACACTGGAGGCATTCAAGATGCAGCTGGACAGCCATCTGTTGGGGATACTTTAACTTGGAGACCTGCACTGAGCAGTGGGCTGGACCTGATGGCCTTATGGACCCCTTCCAACTCTAGTGTCCTGCGATTCTATACATAATGTTTTCCCTGCCGCTCAGAGGTAAAGCACATGCTCTGCATGCAGAAGGTTCCAGGTTTAATTCCTGAAATCTGCAATTAGAAAAGAAAGGAAAACAACCAGGTGGCAAATACTGGGAGCAGGCCTTTACACAGCTCAAGAAGGGCCTGGGCCACTCTGTTTTTTAAGGCACTCCCAGTATATTAAAAAAATGAGGACATGTCAAAACATGAATTCAAGAGTAGTTATACTTCAATTGTTTACATGTAAGACATTAACGCATTAAACACAAGATACAGTGCAAAGATTTGTGATAAATGTTCCTTTTTTGTTTAACCTGCGCTTTTCTAGTTTTTTTCTGGGCAAATTCACTGATGACAGTGGAAAAATTTAGTACTGTTTTGCTATCAGCACTTATGTTAAGCACCACAAGGCAAGATGTCTTGCCCAACAGCTGAACAGTAGCAATTCTTGTCTTGCTTTAATACATTGTATTTGCATTGAACATGAGAGCCCCAGGCCAAATGTCCCTCAGCTCCGCCCCATGAGGCACTGAATGGGAGAGATCCTTGCTCAGTGTTTGGTAATCTCACTGCCTTCCTTATCCTGGGGAAAAAGAAGCCAGACTCTGGCAAGCAAGAAGAGGTCCAGGTTTTTTCTGAACCTGTGAGTCAAAAGGAAGCCAGTCCCTCCTCACAAGCCTCTGGCATCCCCTCTAACTTGGAGCTAGAGGCACATGGGCTGGGGTCTGCACCAAACTCCAAGCACTGGTGGTGCTCCCCACTTCTCCCTTCCAGCTTGGAGATAGTGGAGCCAGACAGAGGCACAAACGCTTCCTCTGTACCTGATGGACGCTCAATGGGCAGGCAGAGCAAGAAAATGCACTTATTGCATACAGAGACAGGGCAGAGACTGTCCTCTCCAGCACTAAAATTTTAGGGGTGGGGACTTTTTGGTCACCCCATCATCTTAGAGTCACAGAAGATTTATCCTGAGCCTCATGTTGCATTTCAGAGACAAAGCACAAAGTCAGGGTTAGGACTCTGCTCGTTGAAGGAATGGACCCCTGACAATAATGAATTTTTGGCTGGCCAAGAAAGCCAGCCTGCATCTCTTCACTCCACCTTTGCTGGAGAGCTGCTGTTGCTCAAAGAGCAGTCAGAGTAGTCAGTTCTGGACTAGATGGACAAATAATATGGCCTGCATTATGCAGCTTCCTGTATTCCTTACCTGGATATTCTCAACTGGCTTTTATAACGTGAATGCCTACTTAAATGGTGCCGCTTTTTCACATAAAATGCTTAGAACTTTTCTAAGCTAAAAAATGGGGTCAGTCTAATTTAGCAGGAGGCAGACTGCTACCCACTGAGCCCGGTATTCTTGATGTGAAGCAGCAGTGGGATTCTTTCCAAGCTCTACTTGAAGATGTTGGGGATCAAACCTGAGGTCTTCTGCATGCAAGCCACGTGCTTTATTACACAAAGCTACAACCTCTGCTCAAACATGTGACGCACCAAATTTAAGGGCATGGGGCTACATGGCGGCATAAGCTACATTTGGGTAATGAAAGCTGTATTCATGGGTGATGCTATATCACAGATCTATCATGGCCAAGAGCACTGGCACTAATTCACATATTCCAATTATAATTTTAGTTGAAGAGTGCAAAATGGTTACAAGCTAAGTAGTGGAGTGTGTGGCAGGATGCAATGAAACATTTTGTGCCTGCCTCCAATTTTGAAATAGTATGCTTTTTTCTATAGTGCCACAGTATTCCTGCACTTCTATAAAATGTTCCCTTTGAATAGGTTTCTGTTGTCTGAAGTTCAGACATGTGGTTTTCAATAGTACTGTTCTGTTAGGTTTATTACATAAATTGGAGAATAAGATAGGCAAGATATTTGGAGTTGGATAGGATCCTAATTGGATGTACCAGGTAGCTTGCTCCCCCAACTTTTCATCCTGTGGGATAAGTTGTATGCATCTGAACAGTGGAAAATTCAACTTAAAAAGCCAAATTCGAATTTAACCCATTGGAATTTAATCAGGTTGGTCACTATTGTTATGTGCTATCAGTTTGTCTCTGACTTACTGTGACCACATGAATGAAAGCTCTCCAAAATGTTCTTTCCATGATATCCCAACTTAGCTGCTCTAAATTCAAGGTTGTGGCCTCCTTGATGGAGACAAACCACCTCTTATTTGGTCCTTCTTTTCTTCTTCTGCTTTTGACTTTCGCTAGCATGCTTGTCTCCTTCAGGGAGTCTTACCTTCTCAAGATGTGTTCAAAGTAAGACAGCCTCAGTTTTGTCATTTCTCCTTCTAGGGAAAGTCCTGGCTTGATTTGATCTAGGGCCCACTTGTTTGTCTTTCTGTCATTCCATGGTATTTGCAAAGCTCTTAGCTCAAAACATTTATGCAGACAAAAGAAATTGTAGTGAATGCTTAAATGGCCATGTGAAGCAGTCACTGTATATGTGTGACACTATCAATTCCTTTTATAACTAAATATAATTTATCCTGAAATACGTTCATCCAGAAAACATTTAGAACTTGTTGATTAGCCTGTCAAAACCTGAGTGAGTAAAAGCTATTCTCCACAAATACCAGATTAAAGGCTTAAAGCATTCCTTTAGACTTCTGTCTGACATGTTTGAATGTTTCCCTATGAAAATAAATCCTTGTGTTTAGAAAACTGGCATATTGGGGAGAAGGGTCAAAGCCATCTGTCAGATCTGTTTTAAACAGAATGGCTGCCATAATCTTTGCTTACCCCTTGGGGTCATCATGTTTTATCAAATGTTAGCCCTTTTCAAAGTAGACCCACTGAAATGTATAGGAATCTTTTCTTCTAGATATAGTCACCAATTTGGATGGCTCAAAAAGTGTTATAATTCATTGAAGAGAAGGCTGTTAGTAGCTACTAGGCACGGTATCTAGTGGTTATCTGTAACCTTCAGTGTCGGAGGCATTGTGGCTTTGTATACCAACTGCTGCAGAATACAACCAAAATTACAAATACAAACCAAAATGTTTGTGGGTTTTCAATGGGGAACTGGTTACATGCTGTGTGAAAGAACGTTGGACCAAGTAGACCCTTCATATGTTCCAATTAGGATCAGTGCTGATAGAACCCGTATTCTATGTAACACTGAGGTTCAGGATCCAAAGAGCTACTTATGTTCCCCCAGTTAGTGTTTTAAAGTGGTCTTTCCTCCCCTGCCTCATATAATGTATTACAGTGAAAGCCTCACTTCATTTTAGAAGCAGTTTTAGCATTTGCTGAGTGCAATGGGGAGATAGGAAAGACTTCCTTTCAAAGGACAGACCTCTAGTTGAAGATGCTCTCCCTTGAAATATTGTCTAGCTTAAAAATAAAAAACCCTAGGAAGGAGAGCAGGGGCTTTGAAGTTATCCATCTGCAGTAAACACCAGAAGCTGGACTAGAACAGACTGTCATTCTCACTTTAGTGTGAAATATATTGCATTTATGTTTAAATGCTAATATTTATTCTAAATTGTCGTGTATGCATATGTTAGCATATGCACATTATATGCAAATCTGTATTTTCTCTCTCTCTCTTTGGTGATGCATTTTCTCTTTTTTAGCCATCCTGGGGGTGGTAGGGTGACTGTTTCAAGAAATTCAAAGCTAAAGCCCTCTCTGGCTTGTAGTGTATTAAAAAATAATTACTATGAATAGATTGCATGCCTAGAAAAGAAGTGGAGAAGTCAACTATTATATTTATTTATTTATTTATTAAAACATTTTTATGCCGCCCCATTCGCCGAAGCCTCGGGGCGGCTTACAACATAGATAAAACAAGTTAAAATCCATATAAAATAATCTTAATTAAAACTCACATTATAAAATAAGCCGCCCTGGCCAGATAAAATTCAATTGTATTTAGCATTTAAAATGTTGCTTAAATAAAAAGGTCTTAGCCTGGCGCCGAAAAACAAATAACGACGGCGCCAGGCGGACCTCTCTGGGGAGCGCATTCCATAACTTAGGCGCCACCGCTGAGAAAGCCCTTCTCCGAGTAGCCACCCTCCTAATTTCTCTCACGGAGGGCTCCCGGAGAAGGGCCTCTCCCGCCGATCTCAGGGGGCGACTGGGCAAATATGGATGTAAGCGCTCCTTCAGGTAACCAGGACCCAAGCCGTTTAGGGCTTTATAGGTCATTACCAACACCTTGAATTGGGCCCGGACTTCAATGGGGAGCCAGTGAAGCTGACGGAGAACTGGTGTCATGTGAACATAACGTCCAGTCCCCGTCAGCAGCCTGGCAGCTCTATTCTGAACCAATTGAAGTATCCGGACCGTCTTCAAGGGTAGCCCCACGTAGAGCGCGTTACAGAAGTCAAGACGGGAAGTCACCAGCGCATGAGTCACTGTTGCAAGGCAGTCGTACTCCAGGTAGGGGCGCAGCTGATGAATCAGCCGAAGCTGGAGGAAAGCGCTCCTCGCCGCTGTTGTCACCTGAGCTTCAAGTGAAAGCTCTGGGTCGAGGAGCACTCCCAAGCTGCGGACCTTGTCCCTAGGAGGGAGTGCAACCCCATTCAGGACAAGGTTCAGGTCACCTTCTCCGAAGCCCGAACCGCCAACCAACAGGACCTCCGTCTTGTCTGGATTGAGCTTCAGTTTATTGGCCCTCATCCAGCCCATTACCTCGGCCAGGCACCGGTTCAGTACAGCCACTGCCTCACCTGGATTGGTGGAAAACGAGAGGTAGAGCTGGGTATCATCAGCATACTGATGGGTCCGCAGCCCACACCTCCTGATGACCTCTCCCAGCGGTTTCATGTAGATATTGAACAGTAAAGGGGACAAAATGGAACCCTGCGGTACCCCATGGCAAAGCTGCCATGGCGCAGAGCCATAGTCCCCCAACACCACCTTCTGGAATCGGTCGTTGAGATAGGAGCGGAACCACCGCAAAGCGGTGCCTCCGACCCCCAATCCCGCCAGCCTATCCAGAAGGATACCATGGTCGATGGTATCGAAAGCCGCTGAGAGGTCCAGGAGAACCAACAGGGACGCACTCCCCCTGTCCTTCTCCCTGCACAGGTCATCGTACAGGGCGACCAAGGCAGATTCAGTACCGTACCCGGGTCTGAAGCCGGACTGAAATGGGTCCAGATAATCAGTTTCATCCAAGAGTGCTTGGAGTTGTCCCGCCACCACTCGCTCTAACACCTTGCCCAGAAACGGGATGTTGGCCACTGGTCTATAGTTAGCGGCCATCCCTGGATCCAGTGACGCCTTCTTCAGGACCGGTCGGACTACCGCCTCCTTTAAAGGAGCAGGCACCCGACCCTCCCTCAGAGAAGCGTTAACCACTTCCAAGATCCAGGTTCCAATCCCGTGCTTGGAATCCTTTATTAACCAAGACGGGCAAGGGTCCAAAAGGCAAGTGGTAGGACGTACTCGTCCAAGCACCTTGTCCACATCATCGGGCCGCAATAACTGAAATTCATCCAATAATTCTGGACCAGACGGTAGCGTTGGTGTCTCCCTTAAAACCTCTGAATCAATAGTGGAATCCAGCTCGTGACGAATCTGAGCGATTTTCTCCCTAAAATGCTCGGCAAAGTCGTCACAGCGGGCCTTTGAGGGTGGAATCAGCTCTTCCTTTGGCCCTGGGTGAACCAGGCCTTGCACCACTCGAAAGAGCTCCGCCGGACGGCATTGTGAGGAGGCAATGGAAGCGGAGAAGTGTCTCTTTTTCGCCGCCCTCACCGCCACAGCATAGGCCCGATAGTGGGCTCTTAAGTGTGTTCGGTCAGATTCATCACGTGATTTCCTCCACCTACGCTCTAGCCGTCTCCCAACCTGCTTCATTGCCCTCAATTCTGGAGTGTACCAAGGGGAAGAGCGGGCTCTGCCCGATGGGAGAGGACGCTTAGGAGCGATCGTGTCTACAGCCCTGGTCATCTCCCCATTCCACAGTTCAACCAGAGCCTCGACAGGAGCACCCGTCTTGTCAGCCGGAAACTCCCCCAGAGCCTTCAGGAATCCTTCTGGATCCATCCGGCTCCGGGGGCGGACCCACACAATCGGGTCTGCACCCTTGCAGAGGGAGATGTCGCTCTCGAGCACAAACCTCACTAGGAAGTGATCTGACCATGACAGGGGAGTCAAGCATAAATTCCTCACCCTCAGACCACCCTCTTCCTGCCCCGTCGAGAAAACCAGGTCCAGAGTGTGTCCACGTTCATGGGTCGGGCAGGTGACATGTTGAGACAGCCCCATGGCCGTCATGGAAGCCATGAAGTCCTGAGCCGCCCCGGTCAAACTAGCCTCGGCATGGATATTGAAGTCCCCCAGGACCAGCATCCTGGGGGTCCTCAACACCAGGTCCGAGACCGTTTCCGTCAGCTCAGGCAGGGAGACTGTTGGGCAGAAGGGTGCACGGTACACCAACAGAATCCCCAATCTGTCTCGGTCGCCCAACACCAAGTAGAGACACTCCAGCCCTGGTCTCGAAGGGACAGGAAGTCCCGTGAGAGTGATGGAGGCCCGGTAAACCAAAGCGACCCCCCCTCCCCTCCCCTCCGGCCGTGAACAGTGCTGGACCATATACCCGGGCGGGCACAATTGAGAGAGGGCAACATCCCCCCCCTCTCCCGCCCAGGTCTCCGTTATACAGGCCAGGTCGGCCCCCTCATCCACAATCAAGTCATGGATGAGGGCAGATTTGTTATTGGCCGACCTGGCATTAAACAACAGCACCGTCAGGCCCGAGGGGCGACTGACAAGACTCCCTGGCACCTTCTGGCTGGGAGCAAAACCAGAAGTAGGGACAGGTGTCAGCCATCTGTCCCTCCTTCTTCTATGCAGACACGTTAAGCCCCCACCGCTATTACGTCCATTGCCCATCACCACACCAATGGCGGCGCCAGTGCGCTCCCCAGGAAACTCAGGCGGCAACATGGCCAGGGACGACTCCATAAAAACAAGTTAAAACACTTTAAAATTATAAAACATTTAAAATTGGCCGTTCAACAGAAGGGACTGCCACAACAAAAGAGCAAGTCCCCTGGCCAGCCTAGCCCCCCCCCCGAACAGCCCCCCCAAACGGCGGCAAACCGCCCTTTGGCCGACGCCCTTTGGCCGCCGGCCCCGGCCGCTGCTGGTGCTTTGTAGCCGCGGGCCGCCCGACGCCCCACCCCGTCCGGGCACGCCTGCCACGTGTGCAGGGGCGTGGCAGGGCAGTCAGGTAGCGGCGGAGTCGGCGGCGCGGCGCGGTCTTTGCGTGGTCTTCGGGCGCGTGCGCGGCGCGGTCTTTGGGCGCGGTGCGGTTCTCGGGCGCGGGCGCGGTCTCCTGCCAGGTGTTGTTCCTCCCGCCGGCACTCCCCCCTGCAGCACTTTGTAGCCGCCGGCCACCCGACGCCCCACCCCGTCCGGGCACACCTGCCACGTGTGCAGGGGCGTGGCAGGGCAGTCAGGTAGCGGCGGAGTCGGCGGCGCGGCGCAGTCTTCGCGCGGTCTTCGGGCGCGTGCGCGGCGCGGTCTTTGGGCGCGTGCGCGGCGCGGTCTTTGGGCGCGGTGCGGTTCTCGGGCGCGGGCGCGGTCTCCTGCCAGGTGTTGTTCCTTCCTCATTATAGGTACTGAAAATGACAGGGAACAAACCTAAGGAACAAACAGACTTTTTTGTGGTCTGTCTTTCTATTTATTTCAAAAACCATCTTGCTTTTCTCCATAAAATAAACCAAAACGAACGTCCTAAAAATCATGAAATACATAAAACACACTGAGACTTTTCAAGTCACAATAAAAGTAATTCAAATTACTAAAATCAATTCCATGCATTAAACCAAGATAAAAAAAATCTAGTAGAAAAGAAAGAATCAGAAATTTAGCACACATTAAAAGCTTCATGAGAAAAAGGAATACCTTAGTTGGTTGGCAGATTTGACTAAGAGATGATGCATCTGTGACCCTCGCATCTGACAGGGAGAGGGAGGCATGCTTTGATCGATTCAGCTGGTTTTGACTTTGCATTTTAGGCAGCATCTTTAGTACACTCTTTAGCCCTGTAAGAAGACAAATCATATGAAATGAAGAAAGCTTCCTAGAAGAGGAATTTGGCTGGTTATTGAAACAAATTTAACCCAGCAGATCTACATGGTTTTGGCATGCACTACGTGATTTGCAGAAAGAATGGCTAGTGGATGCTTCAAAAAGGATGCCTCCATTCCATTTCATAGCAGTTAGATCATGTATACCTTCATCCATCTCTACCTTCCCGTGTGCTCTGATCATCAGGTTAAATTCTGGTTTAGAGGTGAAAACCTCAAGAGTTAAAACTGTCTACTGCCTCGAGCAGGGCCTTTTAGTAGTGGTGCCCACTCTCTCTAGAATTTATAACTTGCTTATGGTTTTTTGAAAGATGCCAGAAGCTTTTCAGGTTTGGGATAGCATTAGAGGGATTGACTGACACACCTGGTTTTATCAGTATACACTGCACTGACAGGTGTGGGTAGACCTGGGTTCCGAACTTCATTTGGCCTTGGGTGACTTTGGCATCTCTTTGTTTCATCATAATCCACTTTATACTGTTGCTGTGATGGTAAAATGAGGTGCAGAGAGATAACTACAGGTATCTTCTTGTACAGCCTTGCATAATATTCTTGTACAATAAAAGTCAAAGTATTAAATACTAGCATTTCTGTTTTGACACTGATGTCGGTGGTTTCTTAGGTATTTACTATAAACAGTCATAAAATAAGACTGTACAGAAATCTTACACATAAAATTGAGCAGGACAAATGTGTGCAAATGCATCTCCATGAATACTCTTCCTATTCTTTAGGAGCTGAAGAAGAAGACGAAGAAGAAGAAAACACAGTGATAGTGACAACGTCTAGAATCCTCCCAAAGATGCCGCCAACTAGTGATGCTCCTAGAACTGAGAGAACTACACTGAAAACACAGACTAAGGTAGCTACACAAACAAAGGTGTGTCTGAGAGGTGATGGGGGTTTGGTTGTTTAAATTGCAGTGTTATAATATAACCTTAGATGCCATTTGGTGTATGCTTTAAGAGGATTTACTAGATTTACTGCAAAGCTGTGGATTAACCATAAAGACAACTCTCTCTGATATTATAGCAGTCGATTAAGAGAAATGTAAAGCTTTAGCCTCTTATTTTGAAACCAGCAAACACCTATATGATACCAAACAGAACTCTCTTGATAGGATGTCACTGTCCACAGCAATAAACAGATGTGTTTCCTGTTCTTTGTATCTACATTCCTGAGAGCTCTACTGGCAGAAGCAAAAGTTGAGGGAAAGCAATAGGAAGATAAATAGAATTCAGTTTAAAAATAGCCATTTAAAAATGGGTATTCTGCATTAACTGTGAGAGGTTCCCCATATTTTATCCTGCCACACTGCAGTGTTCTAGTTTCCAGTTCAACATGCCTCCAGGAAACAGTGCAATGCTATGGACCTAGTGACAAATGCAGGATCTCCAGTGCTGTCTTTATGGAAGGTGGTGACAGGGAAGGTGATTTTAGCAGTGAAGCAGTGGGCAAAAGCACTGGGTACTTTCTCCATCAGTTACTTTCCCCCTGAACCCTATATGACTGTTCACAAGCATGCCTAACCTGATCACAGAGCTGTAGCAATATCATGGTACTTTAAGGAGCTGAGGGTTATGAAAAGCACCATACTCATCACATTGCCTTTATATCCCATCTTTCTTCCTCTTGCTTCCTCTGCTCACAACCAGAGCAGAAGTGGCAAAACAAAACAAAACTCATGAGCATAACTGAACAGAGCTGAGAAACCATCTTAGGGCCTGCTCTGAGGCAGCAAAGTATTCTTACTTCTCTACTATGAATGCATCTGTGATATGTCAGCAGAGTTTGAATGGCGAACAGCCGTTTCTGTAGGCCCAGGGGATCAGACAGAACCTTCAGATGCTCAATGCAACCAATCTAGAGTACTTCTGCAGTCAATTTTTCTCATTTGTTCTGACTTTGAGGCCGTCATTTTGACAGAGTCAGAGATGAAGAATCTAGTCATACTGTTTTGGACAGGTTTCCACTTGTGCAGCCTGATGATGTGGACAAGTTACTTGGAGGTCTGAGACATACCACCTGTTCTTTGGATTCATTCCATTCCTGGCTATTAAAATCTGCCAGGAATAAGCTTACCATCTGCACTTCAGAGGAGACTAATGCCTCTTTGTTGTAGGGTGTGGTTCTCAGTTCTCTAAAACTGAGAACCACAGTGAAAGCCTTCTAAAATGAACAATTTAGATATCTTGATTTTGGATAACAGTCACACTGTATTTAATGTAGCATTTTGGGATAACATATTGAAAAATGATGGTTTCTCAGCTCGTGGTAGTCTTATTATAACAGATTGTTATTTGGATCTGTTTGGATCTGACCAGTTTGAGACAGAAACAGCTTTGGTTAACCTGATGGATGACATACACCAAGAAATGCACAGGTTGTGTGTATTGGGGGGCGGGGGGGGCGGGCGGGAGCAGCCCTATTCATTTTCTTGGACCTCCCAACAGCTTTCAGTATGATCAGCCATGGCATCCTTCTGGATTGCTTAGCTGTCTGTGGGTCAGTGTTAGAGCGGCTCCAGTCATTTCTGTATGGACGTGCTCAGAAGCTTGCAATGGGAAACTCCTGTTCTGCCCTATGACCAGTGGCCCTTGGGGTGCCTCAGGGTTCTCAGTTGTCCCCCATGCTTTTCAGCTTCTACTGGAAGGTACTAGAAGACGTTATCCTGAGGTGTAAGCTAAATTGTTATCAATATGCAGATGATACACAGTTGGTCCAATTAATACCAGGGTGGCTTGGTAACTCCTACATTGGGGTGGGGTGGGGGCTTTATTCATCGCAGCCTTCATTTTGAGTTTACAAGAGCTATCCATGATGTTCCATGGGTAGTGAACCTATGATGGGGAGTTCATAGGAAACTTAATTTTAAAGATTTTATGCATATCTGCATGTATCAGTTTTCAAAATTTTGTGTTATTTTGCAAGTCCATCACATATGATAGAACGTCCCATCTACCTTGTTACATTTCCAACATTTTCCATTATAATTCTTATCTATTTTTCCAATATCTTTTGGACTAACGTACCACCGATAAAATATCTTATACCAATTTTTTCTTAATGTTTGACTAGCAGTTAATTTAATATCTTTTTTCCAGAGAGCTTCCCATTGACCCGTTGATATTTCTTCACCAAGATTCTGATTCCAGATTGTCATGAATTTCTTATCATGATGGCTTTCAGTATCATAGTGTAATAATTTGTAAAGTCTTCCCAATCAATGATCATTCTACTATATAATCAACTTTTCAAAATCTGTCAGCTCTCTTAAGAGGCCTTCTACTGGTTGCATTTTCCCCTTCAGTCTTGAAATCAATTGATGATAAACAAGCCACTGTATATTTTTCCCTTAATCTTTCAGTTGTTGCCAAGATTTAATTCATCCTGGTTGGTCAATAACATCTTGATATGTTATTTCTCCTTGAGTGTTTTCCATATGCTTCAATTGGAGACATCAGAGGAGAGAGTTTGGAGGACTCTTTCCCCTCCAGTACTCTAATCTCTAGTCCACATTTTTCCTATTTGCATGGAGTAAGCAGCAATCATAAACATGTATGATAATCAAGCATGAGGCAAGTTGAAGGCCGTGTTTGAAGAATCCAGGATGCCCTGAGCATTGCTTATTTGGTCATTCCTAGACTTTCCAGGATTTCAGGCAGAGATTTCAGACAGAGCCCAGAAATGGCAGGGCTGAACCTGAAATCTTTTTCAGGTAAAGCATGTGCTGTACCACATGTTTGGGTTACAAGATTTAAGAGAATTTAAGCTGAACTACATACATAACAACATCGAACAGGCAATTTTGAGAGAGGTTTCCAGGGGTTCCCAAAGACTTTTCATAAAGGATTCCAAATAGGCATAACATTCTGAAATATTATTATAGAATTCAAAGAAAAAGTCATAGTTGATGTTAGTACATTCAGAATGTTGCCTGTTTGTCTGAACTAACCTGGTACTGTTGTTTTCCTACTCCTTTTGCTACAGTCCCCTGAAGAGATTGATAAAAAGAAGATACTCAAGCCTGATGCTGAAAACAAAAACACTAAGAATGAACCAGGTGAAGATACGGACGTATTCACTCAAAAGCACTCAGAAAACCTTTTTCAGAGAACAGAAGTACTGGCAGGTGAGTGTCACAACTCAGGAGCCACACGGCTTCACAAGAAACCAAAAAAGGGTGGTACAGGTTTTATTTTGAACTCTCAAGGCTCTTTTTCATATGCTTGTATCTATGCAGTCCATTGCTTTACGAGTAGAGTACTATTTGCTTTTACTCTCTAGCTGTGAAACATAAGCAAATCCCCCCCTGCCTTTTGCTTTCTTTTTCTTTTTTGGGTGGGTGGAGTGGGGTGGGGGTCACCCAGAACATCAGGGCAGGCTTTTAAGCACTTTCCTTTTTAGTGCCCTTTCCCTTTCAATATGGCCTGTTCTTTCCCTATACCATGATCATATTAACACCTCAGCTGTTAGAGAAATAATATAGGAAAAAATCTGTTACTATTCTGTTAAAGAAATGATATAGGGGAAAAATCAAGGCCATTTTCTGCTATTGTGAGCTGGCTGCCAAGAGAAGGAAAATCATAAGGATAGATCCAAAAGACATACTTCATATTGTGCATTATTTGTCCCTAAAGGAAGGCAAGGTGGAGTCTTGAATTTAAAAAACAGGCACTTGGAACCTTGCGTGGAAGACAGGTGACAATGCCAATGCAAAGTCTTGGAGAAGAGGGAATAGCTAGTCACAGCAGCAAAAAGAAAGGACTTTGCCAAGGGCCAACATGCATTTGCCAGAAGTCAGAAGAACGGAGGTCATGACAGAAGGGATTAAAAGTATTAAAAGTAAAGCTTTGTCTAGCCTTAAAGAACAGGTTGTAAATCTCTTTCCAGAAAACTGTGTTCTTACTGGTTCCCCCTACTCCTTTAAATTGGTTAATTTTTTAATCTCGGTTTCTCGTAAGACTAGCTAGTATTGATATAATCTGGATTTAGATTTTAAAACTAAAAGACACCATGTGCTTATTTTGCTATACCATTTTGAGCCATTAGAAACCAAAAACTATTTGGGGGGTTTTCTGCTCAGAGGACCAAATTGGAGGCCATCCATGTCCCTTGGTGTGTGTGGTGAAACTTCTGTTCTCTTTCTTTTACAGCTGTTATTGCTGGTGGTGTTATTGGATTTCTCTTTGCAATCTTCCTTATTTTGCTTTTGGTATATCGCATGAGGAAGAAGGATGAAGGCAGCTATGACCTCGGGGAACGTAAACCATCCAGTGCTGCATACCAGAAGGCACCTACTAAAGAGTTTTATGCATAAAACTCTTAACTTAAGTGTCTCTATTTAAGAGATCACTGAACTTTTTAAATAAAGCTTTTTTTTGGCATAGAATAATGAAGAACCTTTTTTTTTCATTAAAGAGCCTTTATGGCACCTTTATGATTAAAAAAAACCCATTGTATTTAAAACTTTTCATGTATTCCTTTTAAGAAAATGTAAAGTAAAATCTTAACATTTTGCAGTGTTCTGTGAATAACAGTGGCAAAATATTATTTTAAATAGCCATTGATGTTCACTGAATCATTTTAAAACTTTATGCATAAATGAAATTGTTTTATCCTATGATTCAATGGAAGTTGTTTAATTTTTGTCAGCATGTCTGATCTTACAAGTTAGTTTTTATTTCATTAATTTATCTGTTTCCAAAAATAAAATAAATGCCTTTTTGTAGTTGTCATGGTGCAATTTGTCTTCGGATAACTCAGATAATGGTAACTCTTAGTGTAAATGTATTTTTTCAGCTATCTAAACTTTAACCTCCACTTTGTATAAATTTTACTGTCAAAAGATCCATTTTACACCTTGCTTTGTTTCTCAATGTTCCTGTAGCTTCATTGAAAATTACAGCAGCAAATTAATGTGTAAAATTGTACTATTACAGCAAACTATGTAGTCGTACCCTTACAAAACAAATCTTCTTTATGGGAGGTTTTGTAGTAAGCTACTGACAAGCCTACACAAACCCAAAGACTTAACAGTATTTCAAGAACTTGCTGCAAATTTCTATGGCCACTATTTTTTAATTTCTTGCAATTTGAAGGTACGAATAGGAATTCAAGAAGAATTTCCTTTTTTTTTTTTTTTTGTTCTTAAAAATGCATTTAAGTTGTAAACGTCTTTTAAAGCCTTTGAAGTGCCTATGATTCTACGTAACTTGTTGCAGACTGGTGTTAATGAGTATATAAGAGTAAAAAAAAAGAAAATGTTGGTATTTTATAAGCACAGACAATTCTAATGGTAACTTTTGTAGTCTTACATGGATAGACAAAAATTGTAATTTGGGAACATAAACACTACTGAATAAATCATGTGGCCTAATACTGAAGCACTTTATTGTGGAGTTTATTTTCTGTTCCCTTTTACATAATCACAACCTTGGTCATAATGTCAAAGAATGCACCTATTACATGAGAAAGAGATTTGTTGGAAACAGATTCTGAAAGGTTGCTCACTAGTTTCCCAATAGAAATAACAGTATTTGCAAGGGTGAAGTGCCTACAGATGTTAAATCAGTAACACTAGAGTAGTCTTAAGTACTAATTGAAATGTGCCACTTCTGTACAATTCAAATCTCATAAATTTAATGTTTTGATACACTCTGTGCTTTAAATGTTTTTCCCATTCTGTGCCCTTGAACAGTTACATGGAGTTGCTAAATAGCTTGATGAGAAGAGATGGCATTATTATATAATAAATTTTCTCTGATGAATATTAAGAATAGGTCTAATGTGGGCAGAAGCATATGTTTGGTGTCTATTGGCATCCTATTATTGGCATCCTATTGTAGGAATCCTAGCCACCATTTCTCCAAAGGAAAGTGTGTTCTGAGAGGGCAGAAGCAGCATGTGGTGGGGTGTTTAACTGTTTTGATATGGCAAAGAGGTGTCCATAAACTCAGTGGGGAAGAAATGCATGGGATGAGTTCAGTGCCCCTTTTTTTTGACCACCATTTTATCCTATAAATCCCCCTTCCTTTGCTCAACCCACTGCCTGCTTTGGATTAGGGAAGTGCCAACTAGGATTCCAAGATATGTGACAGCTGATGAACAGTTTTAAACATGTATAATGTTTAATGCTGCAAATGGCATACACGGCCATCCTGCCCATGTGGAATCTATGGGACCTGAAGGGGTTCCATGGAGGTGCAGCAGGGAAGAGAGAGACAAGTCTTTCTCAACCTGCGTTGGACTGTAACTTCCATCATAGTCAGCATAGCCATGGACAGGGCTGGCTGAGGACAATGGGAGTTGTCAGAAACACATTTGGAGATCAGGTTAGGCTAGATTCTTCCCCCTCTGTGAAATAGAGAGGGGTGAGTAATCGGCAGTAGACCCTAGAACTGCTGAAGGCAATGACGAGGCCCCTGCCCCAAAGGGGTTTTACGGGACAAGTGGGTTTAAAAAGAAGAAAGCTGATTCACATCAAGGAAGAAGTAGATGCAAGGAAGCATGGAGAGCTCATGGGGTCTCAGATCACATGCAGGAAGTCTCTATAAAAGCATTTCATACATGAAAGTGGTTGCAGGACAGTGATGGGAGGGAAGGGACATGGTTATTCAGACCATGGGCTCCAAGGGTTACAGATGCATATATGTTAGAAGGTTTTGGAAGTGTGGCCTAAAGCTGAAAAAACTAAACAGTAACATTTACAGGAGATTTAAGGAACGTGATGCACAGCTTAAGCCATAAATGTAAATATAGGCACTTGGAACTTCACGTGGAAGGTGAGTGACAATGTCAATGCAGAAACTTGGAGAAGATGGAAGGCCACTGGTCATGGTGGCAGGAAGAGAGAATTTTGTCAGGAGCAAAAGTTTTTTAGAGAGGAAGCCATTACACAAGGGAATTTCTAGGGAAAGTTGAAGGCAGAAGAAGGAAAGAAAGTCCAAATAAGACATGTATTGACTCCATAAAGGAAGCCACAGCCTTGAATTTAAAGCAGCTAATGGGTAACACCTGTCATTTGTTGGGCCACCGTAAGTTGGAGACAACTTGACGGCACATAGCAACAACATGGCAGAAGGGAGGTCCTGTGAAAAGGACTGTAAAAATCTGGTTAAATGAACTAAAATGCATGTGAAATTAAAGTAATTTATCACGTCACAATCACACTTTAAATGAATTTCCTTCTGACCTTCACTGAAGTGCAGTGAACTTGTATTGTTTTTTTCAAGGAGCTGAATCCAAACTTAGGCCTACTGAAATCAACAGGCCTCAAGGGAGTTACGACTGTTGATAATACAAAGTGCAGCTATCCATTCCAGAAGGTGCCATTTTGGAGATGGCCACTGCTAATGTTTTTTAGAAAAAATATTTCATCAACTGGTTTAACTAATAACTAAATAATTTGATCCCTATTTGGTTGTTTAAAAAAGATTAAATGATGGTTTTCTAATATAGAACAATAGTAAATTAGTTGCAAGTTAACAGAAATACTTTGTACGCTTTTGATCTGGCACAAGTTGAACAATTCTTAAATAGTGTTTAGGAAGTGCAATTGAGCTCACAAGGTAACAGCTGCTTGAAAGAACTGCACCAAGAAATAAAATTCTGGCAAAATGCTACTGCTGCTGCTTAAAATGCCAAAGTAAAGTCTACCATGCTCAAATATAGTATTTCATTTGTATAGTCTGATGTCAAGTCTGCATCGTTTCAGATTGTTTACAGTAGAGTAGATTTCTTAAAGGCAAAGTCATTAATTTTAGTTAAACCAAATATTAAATGGAAAAAAATGCCCATTCCTTCATTCTCCCACATGGTCAGCATCTAAATCAACCTTCCCCAGACATTCAGACTACAGTTTCCAGCATTCGCTTTCATTAGCTATGCTGGCTGGGCCTGATAGGAACTGAAGTTGAAAATATCTGGAGGGCACCAAATTGGGCAGACCCAACTAACAGTGAACCTTTTGTTTCAAATGTTAGCCCTTACATGCTTCCGATGATACAAAAATGCCCTTTCTCCAATGCTTCTAAGGCAGAGCCCTGTTCAGCTCAAGGGCCAAATTAAATTCTAGAGAAGCTTTCAGGTATCCAATTCCACTAGTAGGTGGTGCTAGAGGTAAAAGGGGTGTGACCAAACACACAGGCATACTTTAGTTTGAATTTCTACCGCCAGCAACTAAACCCCAGGAAAGGCTTTTCAGCCTTTCAGGATGTAGGAAAAATGCAAAAATGGCCAGAAGTCATCAAATGATTGGAGGGTCACGTGGAGAGGAAGACATGTTGCTCTCTGGGAAGCTGCAGACAGCCAGACCTGACCACCAAAGGGCAGAGCTGAGCCAGCTGGTCTGAGGTTCTGTGCCACTGTTCTAAGGAAATTGTTAGGTCCTCCTGCTGCAGCCTCTGGCACCCCTCCCATCCAGGATAGTCCCCTGACTCTTAAATAGATTTGCAGCATGGTCATCTGGGGAAGCCCTAATGCATTGGTGTAACTCCTGTCACACTTCTCAACCTTACATGCAGTTATTAGAAAATTCTTGTAAATTGTGATGATAAAATACAGAAAATGTAAAATGTATCAAATTGTTTGATTAATTGGTAAGGCATTTTTTAAAAATCCATAAGAGGAAATAACCTTTGTACAGCGGAAGGGTAATCAACTGGGGCTATTGTTGGCAGCCCGAAAATGTGGAGGGAGTTTTTGCAGCTCTCCCTTTAAGTTTTTTCCTTGAGTTCCCAAAGTGAACCCACTACTCATGTAAGTGTTAGAAAAGATCTAAAGTTCAATTTGAATGGTCCAGTAGGGCCTAGCTGTCTCAGGGCCATCCATGAATTCCCTCTATTGTATTCTGAGGAGCTGATAGCCATGTCTTCTCAACCTGTGCAGATTTGGGTTACCAATTTGGACCATATAATCAAAAATTTATAGCAAGACTTTCCAGTGAAGAGATCATTAATTTGCTTATAAAACCTTACTTTTCTAAACTAATCTTTTATGAAGCACTAGACTGTGCATGAACTATTAAAGCCATAGGAATGGAGTCAGACAACTACCTGTCAAATCTAAGCCTTCTAACAAAGAAATATTGTCTATATAATCCCTTCTATTGTGGGCCAATGAGTAGGAGTGAGAAAAGCACTTATTACTAGACACTTCATTACTAGATCTGGAACAAAGGACTATTATTAATGGGAAATACCATATACCATATATATGTTGTTATATACTGGTGGGTCATCCCTGACTTAGGGTGACCCTATGAACAAAAGCCCTCCAACATGTCCAATCCTTGACATCCCTGCTTAGCTGTTCTAAGTTCAAGGCTGCAGGTTCATTTATAGCCAATGCATGTCTTCTTTGGTCTTCCTTTTCTTCTGCTTTCAACTTTCCCTAGCAGATCCCATATATACATGATGGAAAATTATTATTATTATTATTATTATTATTATTATTATTATTATTATTATTAACATTTCTATGCCGCCCCTTGCCGAAACCTCGGGGCGGCTTACAACATGATAAAATACATTGAAATACAATAGTACATAATAAATTACCATTAAATATAAAAATACAAAAAATACATTGATTTACAAATACAAAATTAAAATTATCAGTATAAAATAAAAATATAGGAGGAGAAAGAGAAGGAAGAAGAAGTTGCCCAGGCCAGATCATATGTTTTAACAATTGAAATGATGTTTAAATAAAAAGGTCTTTACCTGGCGCCGAAAAACCAGTAACGACGGTGCCAGGCGGACCTCTTTGGGGAGTGAATTCCATAGGTTGGGCGCCACCGCAGAGAAAGCCCTCCTCCGGGTACTTACTCTCCTAATTTCTTTCATGGAGGGTTCCCGGAGAAGGGACTCTCCCGCAGATCTCAAAGGGCGGTCGGGCATATATGGACGTAAGCGCTCGTTCAGGTAGCCAGGACCCAAGCCGTTTAGGGCTTTGTAGGTCATAATCAACACCTTGAATTGGGCCCGGGCTTCAATGGGAAGCCAGTGAAGCTGATGGAGGACTGGAGTCATGTGAGCATAACGCCCCGTCCCCGTCAGCAACCTGGCAGCTCTATTTTGCACCAATTGAAGTGTTCAGTACTGAGCAGCAAAACATATATATTTGGTCTTAGCTTTAAGGAATCAAATTTACCTTGCAATAGACCCAAATGAATTACAAATATATAGATGACTTCTGTTTAACACACTTCTGCAAATGTACTGAGCACTGTAATCTTTAGTATGCTAGTAAATTTATGCTATAGGACAGATAACTTGCTGGCTTTGAATTAAACTGCTGTTGTCTTAGCAGGAAATTATCGCTGAAGAATATACTTTCAATCGTACATCTCTACACTGAGCAACTTGAAAAAACAAAACACATT